AAAAAAAAACAACCAATCAGCAGTTTGGTAGACAAGATATTCAATATGCGTTGATGTTGGTCGGTCACGATAATCGGCTTAACAAGAGAATAGTCATTTGTTTCTTCATTTGCCTTAGAATAGAAACGGCAACATTCCGGTGTTTGATGCTATTAGCTTAACAGATCACAGAATACGAATGATTTGAGAATGCAAAATGTTGACCGCAAAATAAGCAATATCCCGAAATACAATGCAAATGATGTATAACAAATCATACGAATGAATGAAGTCAGTGGCCTTGATGCCCTTCAAGACGAACAATTATAAAGTTCAATATAAGCCAAATCCTGGCCTACTTCAGGCACAGTAACATCAATAACATGGCTACCCCATTTCGTTTTCGGCAAACTTTCCCCCGAACGTTAATATACCACTTGCTTTCCCGTTCGCGGAGGAAACTTCTGCTCGAAATCGAGTGGTGTACCAATGGCTCATGATTGAATCATGAAGAGGTTCATTCTTTTCTTAGAATGAAGCAAGTCAGTAGGATACAATATCGTGGTGATTGAGCTCAGCAAATTGCTCAGCAAAAGCATCATTCTTCTGTCTGTTTGTTGAATTTCTTAGAATTCATTTGAATTAATCGAATGCACTCTTTTCAATTTCAATGAAATTGTCTCATTTGCATGCTTGTTAACTTTCCTCCTCTTAAACACGAATGCATCTCGTGAATAATTCCTTCATTAACTGACAATTCCATGTAGACTTCATTCTCGATCAATTCTATTCATACGAAATGATTTCGTAGTTTGCACAAATTGAAACTCAAATACTGATCATTCTCCAAATGAAAGCGCTCGTTAAACAAAAGTTTTTATCCTTTTTTGAAACTATTCCCCAGAATGATTGCTTCGCGAACGTCACATTTTAGATCGGTAGAGGTGATTTGCTTGGCAATCGGATATTTTATGCTGAATATCTTTGAGTAACATTTCAAAAAATGTTTGCCTAAGTCCCCAAATCAACAGTTTTATTTTAATCATTCCACAAAAAACGACTGAATTTATTGGTTCATTTCAGATTTATCAACAAAAACAAGTCGAGTTGTTAGCGCAGTTTCAACGCGCACAAACCAATTTGGCCATGCAACAGCTGAATTATTTCCAATTCTTTCAACAGCAGAATTCCGCTGCCGCATCACCTCAGCAGGCCAGTGCCGTATCCACTCAAACCGCTCAACAATCCTCATACTATAACTCACCACCCGGCCCGGCGCATCTGATCGATCCGGTGACCATTCCAGCCGTCTCCTCATCACAAGATGACAGCGATTCACCGCAACAACAAGCCTCACCAACAACGTCGATACCAACCAAAGAGACAGCAACATCATCTACTACGGGACTTCGCAATCGAAGGTCGGTCGTTACTTTTCATTTTATTACTTTATTATCCCATAATTCCCAACTGAAGATGTTGCTATACGCTACGAGTTTCATGGAGTGCAAACCACTGAAAGCCAGAACTATTCATGGAAAATATGCTAATCTTATCATCATGGATTGAGATATTCAAACAAATATGGGATTATCTAGGCGGAAGCGTCCAGGTCAGATATTGAGGAATGAAAATCATTCCATAAACTCTTCAAAATATTCTTCAAGCCAATGAAAGCAGCGAATTTACTATCCGTGTGATGAATGTTTGATTGTTCAGTTATAAATCTGATGAAATCTTTTGATTTTTTCGTCGATTTCGAAGAATCTCCAATAATCAATTCATTTCGACAGTAAACATTTTTTGTCATCTCAAATTGAATCATCTTAAGAGTCAGCAGTATCGCTTCCCTTATCTTCTTAATTATCGCATTGCTGTCGTCATCAATCACAGCTGTTAATTTCGATAATTTTTCTGCCCGTTAAACCGTTCGCCATTGAAATCTAATCTCCTTTTTGCTCACCGATTAAAATGTGAGCGATTAATTGATTTGCT